TATAATGTATTGCTGGGATTTGTATTCCTATGTATAATATACAGCACAATGTACCATCAGCTATAGAGGAATACAAATCCCAGCAATACATTATAGAGCACCATGTGGGAGGCGGGGGGGTGGGGGGGGGGGTGCAGCGTCACCGGGACCTGAGCAGTCTTCCAGCAACTTGCTTCTGAGATCAGGCCTGTCTATCTGCCGCTGTCATCCCCCCACACCTGCTCCTCCTTACTACATCTCCCTGTGCCGATGGTGGATGTGGGCGGGCGGTGAGTGTGAGGCGGGAAGGAGGTGTGGCGTGTAGAGCGTGGATGCAGGCGTGCGGATCTGGCAGCGGTGAGCGTGAGTTGGGGAGGAGGTGCGGTGCGCAGCGTGTGTGGAGCTGTGAACAGAGCCAACTGATCGGAAGCCGATTAATCGATTATTGAAAAAGTTGACAACTTTTTCAATAATCGATTATGTCGATTAGTTGTTGCAGCCCTAGTCCCATTAAGGAAGCCGGGCGGCGTGTAATGACTCTCTGTCCGGCTTCCTGATTAGCCAGGACGCATGGTGCTGGCTTTCTGGCCAATTAGGAAGCCGGGCGGCGGGTAATGACTCGCCACCCGGCTTCCTGATTGGCCCGCTTACCGACCAATCAGGAAGCCAGGCAGAGAGTCAGTACAACTCCGTCTGGCTTCTTGATTGGTCGGGAAGCCAGCTCCGAGCTCCCTCGTCACAAGTGACGCCGATACCAGAAGTCCCGTTAAGGAAGCGCGTAATGACTCGCCACCCGGCTTCCTGATTAGCTGGGAAGCCAGGCGACATGCAAAGACTCGCTGCCTGTCTTCCTGATTAGCCAGCTCCATGCTCCCTCGTCACCAAGTGATGAGGGAGCATGGAGCTGACTTCCCGTCCAATCGGGAAGCTGGGCCGCCTGGCTTCTTGATCCCAGAAGTTCCAGTACGAGTACTCGCCTAAATACCAATGCTAGTTTTAATGCTTCCCTACTTTTTACTGTGTTTTACCTCCATCTCCAACCACCGCTGTAGCTTCTCTGCATTCACTATCCATATCCAGTAGCATGCTCACAGTCTGACTGTTCTCTGCGGCAGTACAAATGCATACACTGGTAGTTGTCCTTGCCTTTAATGCTTGGGCTGCACTTGAGTCCCCTATATCTACCAAGATGATCCCAACTTCCTTAGCACTATGCTATTAGTGTTTTCCAGATATAATCATCTATTGAAATAATTCTTTCTAATGCAATACATTCCTCTCAGGGCTGAGTTGTCCCTGGCAAATTGTTAACTTTTGCTGGTCCAGCAGCCATTAGCACATTGCTCAAGAACACTTGATCACAGTTACAAAAAGCAGGGAGAAAAAGAGTGATATGCTAAGTGCTCACAACTCTCCAACATTAGTTCTATAGTCAGAACCAATAAACGATGTAAAAATGATTAGTAGATGACTCTTCACAGGACACAAGGTTAAAAATCATAATCTTTTTGACGAAAGGAAGCAAGTAGAAATCTAGACCTGTTTCTTTGCACTTCTCTCCAATCATTAATAGATGGCTCTTCATTTTCAGAACGGAAAAGTCAACAGACCAAGTAATGAAGCCTGTGAACCTTGAAGCCATGTCTAAATGGGTTGGAAAACTTCCTATTGACATTGTAGAAGACATGCCTCGTATCGCCCCAATGCTTGCCAGACTGGGCTATGATCCCTATGCCAACCCGCCAAGATATGGTGACCCAGATGCCATAGTTGTAAACAACACTCATAGAGTGAGTATGGTGATGTTTTTTTCATTTATTTTTTTATACACTATTGACCACAGCGTCCACAGTCCTAGTCTGGTTTGACTCCTTCTCTACTCTGCCTCTCTCTCTATTGAGGCTGCCAATCCTTCTGGTCATTATTTGCAAGAGAGTACTGGCCAAGACTGGATCCACATTTCTGCCTGAGAGTATTCAGTCTCTTGTAGTATCCACATACATTAGACTGCTGTCACCTAATAACATCGATCAAGTCAGATTAATTCATGGCAACAGCAGTGATCCTTAGAGACATCCGGTTCCTTCATGATCTCTGTGCCAAAAAAAAAAACTGGATCAGCCAGCTGAAAATCGATGGTGTTCTAAATTTTACTCATTAAGGGATGGGTGGAGGCTCACAGCAGTAACACTTACTTTATAGATGTTGGTGTGTATGTATGAAGAAATTATATTCTGACTGCAGATTGCCCTCTATCGCTCACCTACTGCCTTATGTCTATATGTTCAGCTCATGGATTTCAGTTTTATAAAAACCTCATCATATGTATACCTAATTGCCTGTTATACCAGTACAGCCTGTATGTGTGCGTGTTTATGACTGAAGTCATTTTGTTTTTACAGATCTTGAAGGGAGATTTTAAAACACCCAGCAGTCTGAAAGGTAACATTCAGGTAAGACATTCATTGTTTCTATTTTTAGTTAGACAATCCTGTTTTTAATTTTGTTTGCGTATTCATTGTAATGTAGAATGATACATTTTCTATTACAAAGTATAGAATGCTCAAGAACGTTTTGAAGTCGGATGTGTTTTTGTGGCCTAGTACTCCAAATTGCTGACAACAGTTTCTGTAGATCAGATCGAAGATAGATAGATATAGAGAGAGAAGGTATGAAGGTATTTATAGATAGATTATATCTAGATATAGATATAGAGATAGAGATAGAGCTTTCTCCCCCCCCC